TTTATCTAAGTATTATAACTTTATACGAGAAAATAAAAAAATACGTGTCTAATATTTTTTCATTACCTAACTGACGGACTAATTAGATTTTTAATTTTCTTACCCTGTAAACTACCCAATTCTATGCCAGCGCCAATAACTTTTTTCTCATGGTGTTTAACTTGTAAATACAGTTATTAAGGCCACTACCTTGGTTTGGTGATTCAGCCGTGTCCTTTGGTACGTACGTACAATTTTCGGTCTTGACTTTTAGAAAGTAATTTATCGAATCGAAAAATCAGAAAATGAACGCTACTAACGCACTTACTTAAACAGATGAGCAACAAATCTAGAATGAGCTATGACTGTCATATATCATACGTACCTCTGAAAGTGATAGATCACTTGATCACTCAAAAACACTCATCTGATACGTGTCAGGAAAAGATGACTAGAATATCCTGTGCGAGATTTATTTTATACTGTTTCAGATAGTTCACGCCATAGGACATCTCCAATGTCCTAAATGAGTTCATTATCTTAGCCTATGATATTTACTACTAAAGCTTCTCATGTTAACGTCAATGTCCTACGAAATCTGAAACTTTGAAGATGATGTAACAAATCGATTGAATTTTGAGCACTTATACATGTGAAAGGCAACATATAAAATAAAATAATGTTTGTTAAAGCTTGCTAATATAACAAAATATTGTCATTTAGGTACAAACACAAATGGTAATGTTGCTATGACGACTTCACAGCAGACAGAGTCACGCTAAATAACATATTATAGTAATGACAAAACATATCGTAACACAAGTCTACGCAAACCGTTTGAGTCAATGTTTGCTTTGGTACCATTTTGTGTGATATCGTATCTTATCGAAATATTCAACAGAAAGGCAAGTCTCTTATTAAGCTTACGCAGCACTTTTAGTGACGAAAGGTACGGATGATTACTGAGCAAATTTTGCCTTTACACGTATAGTGTACATTCACAATCTTAGATATTTTCCTCATAGGTATATTTGTTCAAACAGGAAAGAAGGGGTTTTTTTAAACACAACTTCTAGAACCACTGCGTTCATCGTTGCCTGGCATGATCACAAAATAAATATATCGTCAACACTGATACAGTTTAGCTAGTGTGTTAAGTAAGAACCTAATAACAGGATATGTACTAACAAATTTGCTCTTAGACCGGATATGAAAGAATACACGCAGTGAGCAATGAGGGTCATCCTCTGAGTCTCAGAAGTCTCGAATCTGACATAATGTGGAGGTTATCCGACAGAGAACCAAAGTTATTATTCAAAGGATTAGCAAGCTGAAGTGGACTGGTTGCATTTGTTGAAGAACGGAAGACCATTTGGGGAAACGTGTTCTGGAGTGGAGACTGCGTCTAGACAAATGTCGTGTAGGGTGGCCTCCAGCTAGGTAAGGTGACGATAAATGCACGGTGGCTGACTGTACAGATGCGAAGAACTGAAGATCGAGCTCAGTGGCGTTCTATTGGAGGAGAGGTCTATGGCCAGTAGTGAACGGAAACATGTTGATGATAATCATGATGACGGTTGCATAATAAATGAAAATTCGAAATTTTAGTGCAGTTAGCTACCGAAACGCAATGTAAAAACTAAAATAGGTACGTTGGCCATACTTTTTGTCTGATGGTCTGGGGTAAAGTCTAACTAATCTCACGTTATTATTTAGGAATGAATTCGACCTATGTCCGAGGTCACAAATGCCAGTGAGGTAAGACCACATGTAACGCGATTTTTGAAATAGACCTTTTAGTTACAGATACTAAAGTTTGTGAGGATATATTGATAAATAGTGACTAATATAAAGCTAAAAATTATTCCGTAATTGCCACATAAGATAGTGATGGATTGTGGAATATGGGCTATAGACTATCCTTTACATTTTTTAAACCAGCAAACAATTCATTGTCATTCCTTTTTCTTGAAGATTTTCACGCATAACGTTGTGGAACACGCTATAAACTCATGAGATATCTCATTCCTTAACCTGATCATACATTCTGTCTGTATATTTTACCAATGCAGAACGTTTTCACAGCAAATCCCATTAAAACGACACGATCATCTAAGGTCTATTGACACGTAATCGAGTAAGTACACACATCTAACATCTCTACGTCTCGCCATGTATAATGTTATCTCAATTAACTCAGGAGAGTTCAAGAGTTATCACTTTATTATTTAAAAAGTCGATACTGTGCACTCGACCGGGTGGCCACTTCACTTGACCGATTACCTAAGCCTTACTTAATTGTGATAACTATCGTTTTGCACGCGAATCTGTCTAATTTGACTGCGATCCCGGTCCATGTTGAGTACTTAGTCCGTTAAACTTGGGCTCGCTACCATTGCAGCGGTAAGTCCCCCCTTTGAGGAGTGGCTTAAGAATGGCTACGGCATCCTCACCTACCGCTTGACGCAGGTCCTTACCAAACATGGGAGCTTCGGTAAGTTCCTGTGTCTAATAGGGCGGGAAGAAACGCCCGGGTGTCATCACTGCGAGGACCGCCCTGAGGACACGGTGGAACTCACGATAGGGACATGCACTGCGTGGGTTGAGAACCGCCGTGCCCTAAGGGATGTGATCGGCGACGGCGAACTACCGCGTCCGGCCCTAGTTCGGGCCATGATGCGGAGCGAGAAGGACTGGGACGCCGTCTCCTCCTTTTGCGAAGCAGTCATGCTAGCTAAGGAGAAGGCGGGGCGCGTGAGGTAGAGAAGCACTGCCTCCTCACCACTCTGGCCTGGCGAAGGCCACTCCGGGCGTCAGTGATCGCGAGACTAGATAAACTAAATAGGTACTAATTCTATAGGCTTTGTAGCAGTGGATAGAGTGATTCTAATTGAGGCAGGTTTCATTAAGGGCTGGGGATAAAATACATAAATCGCTAAGCTAAAAATAAATAAAATAAATATTTTTTTTTTAATAATACAAAAAGTATGAAGAGAAATTACATTTTTATGTATTCATTCTGAAGTGAAAGTGATATACTGATCTCTGAAAAATACCGTATGGACGCACTTAAAGGCGCCGGCAAAATCTAGTTAATTTTATTATTCACAATGGAACAACAAAAATTCAATATATCTAGCAATATAGCAAGTATGTAGCACTATGTATAGATAGGTATATAAACAGTTTCATATAACATTTCAAGGGCAAATAATATTTGTGAGAAGACAATGTTAATTGGTGGTAACTGTTTATCGAAGCTGTGAAGAGGCAATATTAAAAAGGTAGGTAACAATGACATGATCTAATGATAATTATAGTCATCATCAAGGATGATGATACAAAATATGATATTGAAGAGGTATGATGGAACAAATTGGGTAGTTTCCAGGGCATCAAAATTAAAAATCTAATTATCCATCAGTTAGATAATAAAAAAAATTAAACACGTTTTTTTTTATTTTCTCGTATTAAGTTGCAATACTTAGATAAAATGGCGCTAAGTTTAGGAGTGGGAGGTTGCTACGTCTTAACGTGCTACAATATATGGCACGATGTGACGTCACCCGATATTTCAAATTAATATATCATCGAAAGTATTATTTAATTTTGTAATAAAAGAAAAAAAATGTGTCTAAAATTTTAAATTAATATACCAGACGGTCATTATAGTAAAATTTAGGAAACTTCCCTAGTATTGTCATTTTTAAAATAGCAAACATTCTTTATTATCATCATAATCATTTGCTTTGATACCAATTTGATATATATATTATATGCCAATGGGAAACCTTCACGAGCCGCCTTGCTTTTTGGGGAGAAAAGCTAGGGAGGGCGGGGTCCTCACCTCACGAAAGCTGCCCCGCTGACCACCTACTTCATATTCATATACCTAAGCCCTTCTAATAGGAATCTACTTCGCTCAAGTACTGTTAAGTTTAATTAATTCTGTCTATTTTTTGTTTCTATTCTTTAAATTGTTTCTATTTTTCCAAAGTCAATGTCTAATAGGTATTTTTATTTATTGGATATCAATCTTTCCAATGTAATAGGAAATTAAAACAATTAGAAAATTAACTTCACTATTTTCAATTAAATTAAATTTTATTTTTTTCAACAATATGTAATTCATAATTATTGGGAACTTTTTATTTCTATTGTTATTTATTAATTATTCATGAATTTCTAAATAAATTTATTTAAACAATACTATTAAAATAATCTGATTCAATTAGGGCAGTATTTCTTTATTTATGTACTTATACATATTATATTATTGTAAAAACTTGTCATTTCAGGTCAAAAGAAAAAACTACAAATTCATTAGCCAGATTACCCTACATATTTGCAAAAACCATTTCATGAAAAAATGTGTCTTGTGTCTAAGGTGTCTTGTCTTTATGCTATAAATAACTCAAGAGCAAATTTAATCAATGAAAATATTGAATTGGTGGATAAATAAAAATACAAGATTACTGGACATAAATAAACAACAAAGGTACTTTGTGCAAGACACGTATGACGAAGAACAAGACTAATTTGGACAGAATGTAGGTCTTTATAAATGTATTGATGCCCACAAATGGACCACATAATATGTTAACATAAAACATCAGTTTAACTTGTATAACCTACCCCAACAAATTCAAAGAACATACAACACAAAAAGTATCCTCGAACAAGAAATCTAATATTATTTTATTGATAAGATCTTTACAACAAATAGATAAAATAATAGTGTATTAGGGACAAATTGTGTAAAAAGTCTTAACAACTCCAATAAGGAAAATTTCTGAATTAATCCCAAGCACTGCTACATTATCTTGTGAAATAATTGTATATGAAGTATCTACGTTATTATATTTGCGCTTATTTTACTACACACGGAAACAAATACTACGTCTCTAGAGCAATCAATAGTCTTATCTCTATTTATCTTCTAATAAGTAATCCATAATTAAATAGTCAAATAAACAATTTGATTTGTCCTCTAACAAAATAATGTGAAAGATAATACTTACCGGGATCGGAGCAGTTTGATAGCTTGGTGATAAGCCCATCGGCGTAATAGCTATCAAGCACATAGTTTGGCTCTGTAAGTTTTTCAAACAGTAATTTTATCTTATTTTGAATCTTAACACACTCCATTTTCTTGTTGATTTCTCCGCAGTTAACATCAAGAACAACACTTTACAGTAAAATCTGTTGAAGCCAATGTTATTTATAATACTCAGTGGCTAATATCAACCAAGAATTTTGACAAAACAAACTTTATCTAATCCTTCCATGCTCCCACCATTCCTGATCAAATCAACTTCAAACTGACTTGCCACAGATTATCTTTCTCATTTGATTGACAATGTCAATTTGACAGTAAATAGATTCAAATTTTGTATTGTCTATGTCTTCTAGATCCAAAATTAAAAATCGACTAAAGTTATTTTGATCTTGTTACTACTTACTACAAAATATCGATTACACTAGCTTCTGCCATCGGCGTCGCCCGTTTTCCTATACACGTAATTTATCATTCAAATATTAATTCATTTTTTTATTTTATTAATAATTTAATGTTTATGGGTAGCTTATAAATCAAGGTTTTTGCCGGTGATGACGTATGGTACCGAGACATGGTCCCTGACCTCTGGCCTTCTGGAGAGCTCAAAGTCATTCAGCGTGGGATGAAGAGAGATATGCTCGGAGTTTTTTTGCGCGACAAAATCCGAAATATGGAAATTCGCCAAAGAACTAGAGTTACCGATATAGTTCGTAAAATCTATAGACTGAAGTGGCAAGGGGCAGACCACTTCGCTCAAAAGACTGACGGCAGATGGACCAGGAAAATCCTTGAGTGGAGACCACGGACCGGAAGACGAAGCGTGGGCAGGCTTCCCGCTAGGTGGCCCAACGACATCGCCAGAGTTGCGGGGAGTCAGTGGATGCAGGTGGCGAGTTGTCGCTCAACGTGGAGGACTAAGAGGGAGGCTTTTGTCCAGCAGTGGACGTCTTCCAGCTGTTGATGATGATGATGATAAATCACCTCTCTCAAAAGATACTTACGTTGAGTTAGAAGTCACCTTGTATGTAAGGGACTTATGAAGTTGTATTATAATAGTGATTATAAGAAGGCATTGTATTATTATTAAAAATGAAAAGAAAGCTGATGAATAATTTTATTATTTGTACTGCCTCATTGGCCAAGTTATCGAACGTGCGTCTGGGCAAGGGCTCGGGTTCGATTTCCGGGTCGGGCAAAGTATTACTGGGTTTGTAAAAACCTCCATAGTAGTATAGACTCAGGACTCTAGAAATGTGCCCGGTATATGGCAATAGGCTCACCCCGTATTAAATGGGACTCATAATATAAATAGTAAAAAGTGGGTGTTACATTGTACATACAGTGGCATTAAGTGCCGTAATGTGCACCTCTGCCTACCCCTTCGGGGATAAAAGGCGTGATGTTATGTGTAATCATTTGTCTGATGTCTACGTTTGATTAAGAATTAACTTCTATGTCTCAATCTCAAAATAAAATTGGTTCTGAAACACCCACTTTTTTTTTAAATTAGTTAGTACAAATTAGAAGTAATAAGTTTCTTCGTTTGAATGTGCTCATACTGACTGTTTTGATGAATATCATATTTATACGAGATACGACACATTTTCATGACTGTGTATAGTCGAATAATTATAATCGTTATTTTGTTAGTCTTAGTAATCCTAATCGTTATTTACAGTCACCGTTAGTAACGGCGTATGATGTGTTAATTTTTTTAGTTATGTATTAGTCTATGGTAACATTGAATGATTGTTCTAGAATTTGTAAGCAAGCACTGAAGCAGTGCTTCTACTGTCAAATTTTTATCTGCAATCTGCAGACAACTTGCTGTCGCTGCACTGCTGTTGAATTGTATTGTAAAATTGTTATAGAGTGCGAAGACTGTGTATGTGAAACGAGTGTTGATACTCAGTTCATTGCCGTGACAATATTTGTGTGTTTTATTTAGTGCGTGAGATGCCTTTGAGAGGAAGAAGTTTCGTAAGTGATGGTTATATGATATCTTATTTCCTTCCGATATCTGTAGCGGTGTCGTGCGCAGCGTTGCTATGTTATGCATGTATCTTTCTAACATTGCTTCCGTCCGGTGTCTGAATGTACAGGCGCCCTTGACTGCAGTCAACATTGGTCTGCACAGCAATAATAACACACTTGTGACACACTAACCCAATAATACAGCATATTCATGTGTAAAGTACTGTGACGATTGCACCGATGAGTTTCAGTTTTGCTTGCTTACAGTTGCAGCACATTTTTGGCTCACACCCAACAGTAGTATCCTTGACTGTGTAATAACTAATATATTAATTAACATTAATTTGGGATCAAAATGTCGGTGTCGCTAGAGGTCTGATATGGTGGTCTTCCACAGGAAGGTTGATGCGTGCCTGCTATAACACAAGTGTTCCCGAGTGCCTCCTAACTGCCTGCTTTTGAGGTTAGTCACATTTGTTGTCTCTCTCTGTTGTGGATTGTAGACAAACCAATACTTGGACATGAATTGGTCATTCATTTGTGGAGTTTGATGTGAGTTTTGTGGTGCTCTAACTATGATTTGTTTGCCAAAATTGTGAAGTCCTTTTGCAGCACAGAGAAGCCAAGTGTTGGACCATGAGATGTCAAATATTGATGTGTCTACATCTGTATGAACTGTGTGCTCTCAGCTATATGTGGTGTCAGTCGCTGCTGGCTTTATGTCAGATATTGGTGGAAGAAATACTGTTTCTTATTAGAATTATGTACCTATAGTAAAATCTTTAAGTCATATGGCCATCATAATAGCAATTGTTGCACAATTATAACATTTGAGGGTAAATAGTGATTATTAAAAATATTTGCAGCAAGTAAATTGGACAAGTTAGTTGTGCCATACTATTGTTAAAGGTAACTTCCAATTCTCTCATAGTCCTTAACAAAATCTTATGCTTACTTAGTATAGTGTCTTCACACTACTGAAATAGTCACTTTGTCACTTCAAATATGGGTGTGAATGCATATGCAGCTAGAAAGTTTTGCACACATTGTAAAGATTCCTTGAAAGTGAAAGTTTTGTTATACTAACAACAGAAAAAGCGAATTTTTATTATTTACAACATTGTAAAAGTTTATTGGTCAAATAATTTGGTGGCTAGCCAAATCATTGAAATGGTTCAAGAGGCTGAATGTTAGAGAAGAAAGTCTGGGAATTTGAAATATGTGTGTTTACTCTATGGCACTATTTTATACATACCATACAGTTAATAGTTACCAACTAAGAGAATATAAAAATTATTTGTAAAGCAACAGCACATATGCAGAATATGTAAAACAGGCAAAGACAAATTTATAATATGCCATACTTCACTCAATCTTATGAAATTTCTTCCTATTGAGGCCACCATTCCTGCACCTTTAAATAGAACCAGAATTAAAAAACAAATGATGCAACATGAACTAAATACTTCGCAATGATTACCTACTCTATAATCTATGACACATTTATTTTGGCTTTGTAATACATCATCCAATTCTTTCAATAAAAACTGTTTATGTTCATTGAAAATTGTTAACTTGTCAATATTGAATTGACTGGTTAAATCCCAGTCCCACACCCATTAGTTGTATGTAAAATTAGTCACTACAGGAACTGCCTACCTAATACCTATTATGTTCCAATAAGGTACCTAGTAAATACAGCAGTAATTGGAGTACATCCCCAAAAGAATATTAACAGGTTAATACTTAAGTCTTCCAAAAGAAATTTGTGTATATCATTACCCATATTACATGTTCTGATTGAGATTCTACCTCTTTTTTTAATTGTTAAGTTTTATTGAAAACTAGCTTATGCCGATGGCTTCGCCCACGTTTCCTTGGGACAAAAAGTGGCCTGTGTTACTCCAGACCATCTACCCCTGTTCCAAATTTCATCTCGCACCTTACGGCCGTTGTGACGTAAAAAAGGAACAAACGAACACACAAACACATACATACATCCTCACAAACTTTCGCATTTATAATATTAGTAGCATAGTAGGATAATCGAAATTTTTTAAGATTTTCGACCAATCTATTTTCATGGCATAATACATAACCACGAGGTTTCGTTGGTGATATAACCATGTATCTAATAGTGATAATATACCGAGTAATAGTAATATACAGATCTTCATTGACGTCACGAGTTCGCGAATTAGGTGGGGCTAACATTTTTGTGGCGGCCACACTCGATTAACTGTTATTAGGATATTTACATACGCAACTACACACTCGTGTACACCAGAATAATCTTGTGCACGCGATTGCGTGTGTATCTGCTCTGTTTTTACGATTTGCCCCAAATAACATCGTGTGATTGTCACCCGTTCGATAATCAGGTTTTTGACTGATTAGTTATCTAATTAAGTCTTGCTTTATTGTTTTAGTCGATTTCGCTAATGACTAAATATATTAACCGTGGCTACATCATTATTTTAGCATCAAACGAGAATATAATCGACGATTAATCCGCTATTAGATCATAGGCAGCCAGTTGCCATGCCACAATGATAATTATTCCTACCTATTTTCTAATTATCTCTACTTGTAGTAAATATTGGTATGGTACTCGATAGAACAGTGTTATCTAATCATTAAACCCTAGTCTAGTTGAATCATTTTTATGCCATATTTGATGTTTTGATTTTGGATTCATGGTATTAAATCAATACTAATCTGACACCTTAGTTGATAGAGTAAATTTTAAAAAGTCTAGACCGTCCTGTTTATTATTTTAGATGCCGTCCCTTTACTTCCAAAGCAGTTATTACTGTTTTCATGTAAATCTATGTAAAATAGCTTAAAATTCATGCAGGCTACCTATAAATCTGGTGTACATTTTCGATCGTCTGTCGCCGTATTTATAGAACCATTTATCATCATTTAGTTACGTAATCAACAATCATGTCCAAAACGCTTCATCCGTAGGTGTCTACTACTTTCAATGGTTGTTCTCTTTCCGCGTTTAAAGTCGTGAATAAATTACAGAAAGTATATCTCTCTCCTTATTTAACAGTTCTTAAGTAATATCCCACCGATTTACTTTATTTGCGATTTTATTTATCGCCGTATT